GTTGCCGGACACGGAAAAAGACAAAAAGATAAAAAAAAAAAAAAACTGTATAAGTGAGATCGCAGACATGAATATAAGTATATATATGAGGGTACTTCAAAAGACTTGTGGAAAGTAGAATTTAAAAATAGTAGGAATTTTTCCATGAACTTTTTGAAGACCCCTTGTACCTTTTAAAATTGTGAGCTGTGAAATAGATTCATAAATTATAAAAGGAAGATGTGAGTTAATTGTGCACTGCCTCAAGCCTCCAGTGTGGAGACTGTCGGGCGTGAGGTAGCTTTGTGGATAAAACTCAGACTGCATCAGGTATGTCACAGATTTTGTTGGAGTCAGGCCAAGGACGGCTGGTATTAAGTTGGAAAATGTAGCATTGTCACCGTGTCCTTCCCCAGCTACTACAGAGCCAATGAAGTACAGCAATTCAGATATTCCCGGCCCTTCCGGAAAGGAGAAAAGGATCCAGACAATGAATTCGCTGTGAGTCCACCCCTTTTGCCCTCTAAAACAGGGTAAAATTGGCATCTGAAATGGAGGCCTTCCACCTAACCAGCATATACAGCAAAAATACACCCTGGGAATAGAAATTTCACCTGCTAATTACCCAGACAGCAGACTGTCATCTTAGTGGCAGACTCTAGCTAAGGTCCAGAAACTGGGCTTTGCTCCTGGGCCTGCTGCTAACATGATCTTGGGCAGGACACATCTCCCAAGACCTCAGGTTTCCATCTACAGGAGGAGAGGGCTCGAGTAGATGATCCCTTTCAGCTTCAAATATCCAAAATCCTTAAGTTTTATGGAAAAACACAGCCCATTCAAAAGAGGAATGGGATCTCCCTTAACTGAACCAGGGAGTTTTGCCGTGTTACCTAAGAATTAACCAACATTTCTTATTTTCCTTCCCACCACCAGACCATGTGGATTGAGCGGACCACATATACTACTGCATATACCTTCCCCGGGATTCTCAAGTGGTTTGAAGTCAAACAGATTTCAACAGTGAGTCATTTGAAATTGGAACTCAGGGAAACAAACTCCCTTTCTCCAAATATAATAACAGCCTTTGTTAAATCCTCCGTGCTGTTCGCACCAGCCTGGCCAGCCTCCTCTGGCCAACTTTGTTTTGCAGAGAAGAAATAAAAGCATGCTTGTGCAGTAGAGCTCCTTTGTAACGCCAGTGTTGCCAACAGCCATCCTAAAGGTTCTGCACAGTGAATGGCTCTGTTGTGACCACAGGAGGGTTGTCTCCTCCAGAAACATTTTTGGAATGTCTCTGTGGAGTTTTCTGTCAATCACGTCTTCTCTCCCAAAGCCTTTTCTCTTCTTTTATTCTCAGCTAATCACATCACCAATCACCTTAGACTCCTCCCTCTTCATTTCTCCCAAAAGCTGCTTGTTTTACCTTTTTAGTATTTATTAATCCCATTTTATTTCCAGCCCTTTTGCTACTACCCTGTTTGTAGTATCTCATTCATCATTAGTGGAGGCCCCTGAAAAAAGCCTCCCCATGAGCCTCCCTGCTTCCGTCTTCGCAGGTCCCTTGTCCTCGCTGCCTCAACATGTGAATTCCGTCGAGTAAACCCGGTCACTTCATTCACTGTCATGCTCTCCAGCGCCTAAAGTATAAAGCCCATCATGCTTAGCACATGCATGTGAGGCCTTCCTGCCTTGGCCCTTCCTCCTTATCTCCT